CTCCAGAGAGCAGGGTCCTGGAGAAAGGTATGGAAACACAGATCTTGATAGTCAAAGGGTAAACGGAGGTGGGGAGTTCTCTTGGAAAATGGGCTGGACGGGCCGGCCGAGTGGCGCGATGGTTAAGAGCTGGCTTGGGATGCCAGAGGGCCCTGGTTCGGATCCCACATATGAGGGCCAGTGCCCTCCACAGCTAAGATGCTGAACAACAGCTCAACCTGGAGCTGGGCTGCCATGAGGCGACGGCGCAGGCTGCAGCCCCTGTGGCAGTGGGTTGCCATGGGCTACCATATGTAGTCAGCAGCCAGCGAGCGGCCAGCAGCCACAGTGAGTGGCCGTCCAGAGGCCGGCGACTGATCTGCCTCGCCCGGGAAGAGCACAATGATGGTGCCAACTTGGGCCAGTGAAGCAACATCCTCCACAACTAGATAGAAGAACAAAACGACAGCAACTTATCTGTTCCCCTTCCCCCAAGTCCCCAGCACTGTTCCCATCCCCCCAATTCCCCAATAAAAAAAATAAAAAAAAAATAAATATTTTAAAAAATGGCTGGACAAGTGCTTGGTGCAGGGTCATGGAGAAAATTCAAGCATTAAGGGATGGAGGGTCTGCATTAGTTTAAAGTACCTTCTAACCTTGAAACTCTCTGATATGAGGCTGTGGACAGTGGTCAGTGGCCATAAATAAAGTGAAGAGGTTGAAGTATGACCATTCATCCAACCAAATGTGTTGTTCTGTGGTGTATAAAGCACTTTATTTGCAAGAGAAACTTAAGATCCCCATCCCAAGGACACAAATGGCTACAAAAGAGAATGTTATATAGGCTATACAGAGGTATAAGCTTTCTCCCTTTTCTGTTAGCACAACTAACAGAGACTTTCTTAAGACAGCTAAGGAGAACATGTCAGCAGACGGGAGACTGTCGGTAAGAAACAGGAAGAGGAGACTAGACGAGGAAGGCATTGGGAGTGATTGGCCCTATGTGCTCAGGGGAAGGTGGTCTCTCGCCTGTAGCCCTGTTATGCAGCTGGCACATCTAGTTATCACATGCTGCGGTCTGAATGTTGGTGTCCCCCCAAAATTCGTATATTGAAGTCTTAACCCCCAAAGGTGATGGTATTAAGAGGTGGGAGGTGCTCATGTCAAGAGGGTGGAACCTTCATGAATGTGATTAGTGCTCTTATATTATAAAAGAGACCCTACAGAGCTGTGAGGACGCAGAGAGAAGCCCCAGCTATGAACCAGGAAGCAGGCTCTCACCAGAACGTACCCCAGCTTGTGCCTTGATCGTGGACTTCCCAGCCTTCAGAACTGTGAGAGATACGTGTCTGTTGTTTACAAGTCTGTGGTATTTTATTATGGCAGTCCAAACAGACTAAGGCATTGTGGAGCATTTGACTTACCCAGCCCACTCCCTTGGCCTAGATACCATGCTCACCAATTAGCATGATGGTTGTGATTTGGCTTTTCATGTTACTTTCTCTCCAGAAAAGGTTTTTGACAGAAGGACAAAACCCCTATCACAGCACTTATCTCAGGGTTATAATTGTTTGTCAGTTTATTACCCTAGACCAGCGGTTCTCAACCTGTGGGTCACGACCCCTTTGGGGGTCGAACAACCCTTTCACAGGGGTCACCTAAGACCATCGGAAAACAAAAAGATATTTACATTATGATTCATAGCAGTAGCAAAATTACAGTTATAGAGTAGCAACAAAAATAATTTTATGGTTGGGGGTCACCACAACATGAGGAACTGTATTAAGGGGTCGCGGCATTAGGAAGGTTGAGAACCGCTGCCCTAGACTAACTTTTCTTGTAGCACTTTCTCTTAGCACAGTGCCTGGTACTTAGCACAAACTTATGAAATATTTGTTAAATGAAGTCTGGATGGAACAATCACATCTAATTGGGCTGAACGTGGGCAGTTGTCAGGAGAAGCAGAAAAGTAACATTTGAGGGCTGGGCCTTCCTGAAAGTGGGAGTTCTTCATTGAATATTTACTAAGTCCCTCGTATGTGCCAGGCCTAGCCTAGAAGATACTGGTGTACAAAGATGACTAACACAGTATTTGTTTTTAAGGAGACATTCCAGGCTGAGGGAGCTACATAAACAAAAGGCTGGGTTCCTGGAAGGGCTTGATGTGTTTGAGGGGCTACAGTGCGTCAGGCTGGAGATTAGGTTGAAGAAGGGCTAAACTGTGAAGGGTCACTAATCAAAACAGGGAACACTAAAGTGTGGGAAAGCCTTTAACCCTTGCCCCTCACAGGCCTGTCAGGCTAGAATTTGGACTTTATCCTGGAAGCAGCAGAGAAATCAATCATCGGACACTTTAAAACAGATGAGTGACATAATCAAATGTGTGTTTCAAAGTATCCTTGTGGTAACGTGGAGGATGGGCTGGGATGCCTGGATTCTGGTAGAGAAGTGAGAAGGCTATTGCAATAGTCCTAGCAAGAAATGGTGAGAGCCGTGGGGACAGATGAGAGATTTTCCAGAGATTAGACGCAATACACCATGGTGACCAATTGTCTGTGGAGGGTGAGGAAGAAGGAATTGCTAGAGATGACTGAGATGTCTGGGTAATGCTTTCAACTGCAATTGGGAAGGAGAATTTTGTTAGGTGTGGCAGGCATAGGTAATGAGTCCAAATGCTATATTCTGGGATGGAAGGGTCGTGAGGACATCCAGGTGCCAAAATCCTGTAGGAAACTGGAAACACGGATCCAGAGCTCAGGGGAGAAGTCAGGGTCAGAGATAAAGGTTAGGGGGTCATTAGCATTTGGGGGTGAACGAAGTCTCGTGGTGAGTGTGTTGAAATACAGTAGTGCAAAGAATCCTGAGGCGACGATAGAGCACATTCCTCAGAGCTGGTGGAATAGAAGCCCCCAAAAAGACAAAAACTGGTCAGAGAGCTAGGAAGAGTCATGGAAGCCAACAGAGGATTGCGTTTCAAGGAAGTTGCCAGGAAGAGACATCTAAGCCTGCTTTGGAGGTCAGGTGATGTTCACTGAAGGAGGTGATGTCTAAACTGGTCTTGAGGATGAGGAGGAGATAGCGAACAGGATAATGCCTGAAAAGAGGACGTCAGATCTGGCCATTTGCACAGCTGTAGCCTCCCTCCACCAGGGAAGAGTCAGAGGTGGGGACAGCAGACATAGTCAGCAGATTGAAGAGTGACTAGAAGGTGACAAAGTATAGGTGGCAAATATGACCATTATGTTTTGAAGTCTGATACTGAAGGTGAGGAAAGAGAGGAAAAGATAGGCTGAGCGTTAAAGGGGGGAGTTTTCTGAGGATGCACGGTGAGACTTGAACACACAGCACACTTCTCCATGTCGGGCATGTCTGTGCCTCTGAGCTTTGCTATGTTATATCATACCCTTTGCCTAAATGATCCAGTAATTTCACAAGCGTTTCCTGAGCAGCTCCTGGGAAGGGACTATGCTGAGAGCTGGGCTGCAACAGCGAATAAGACCGCTTGAAGGCCCGGTCCAAAGGATTGAAGAGACAAATAAGAAACTTCAGGTCAGTGTGGCAAATGCCACAACAGGGTCAGCACTGGGCACAATGGGAGACAGTGGAGGTCACAACCCCAATGTAGGGTTTGGGGGGACTCCCAAGAACAGGTGACATCTGAACTGAGACCTAAAGTCGGAGTCAGTCGGAGCAGAGAAGGCATTCAAGCAGAGTGTGCCCTACAAACTAAACTCCCTTCACGACTTCCTCTAAATCCTAGACCTGTCAGGCCCTGGAGTACCCAGGTGATGCCCTCTGGTGAGAACATGAGGTTCCTCCTGACCCTGCTCCCAGCACCTAGTTTTTACTCTTATTTAACCAACATCCCTTCCTGTACCATAGTGGTTTTTACTCCCTTGTCTACTAGAAACTTCTAAAGAGGAGTCTGATTTTAGCCATCTCTGGATCTCCTAAAGTTATCTAGTGCAGCACTCAACACATGGTTAATGCATAAAAATATTTTGTGCTAAGAAGTCTTCTCAGCCCCAGGACCATCATCATGGTTCATAAATTCAAGGGGGCCACCCGCTGGGTTAAAGCATAGAGGTAAAAAGGGAAAGGAAGAGTTGGCATTGGAAGAAAAATAAGGCTGAGAGAGAGAGAGCTGGGGAGGAGGCCAAGAGGAAGCAAACAAGCAAAGAGAAGGTGTACAACAGAGGGGGAGGGGTGCAATTCCACACAAAATCTCACCAGAACTCTCTGTGCTGCATGGAGCCTTGGCTTTGGTTGCTTTTCCATCATGGGAGGGTCCCAATTCCCCCTCAACTTTCAGACTCTCTCACTAGAATCTGATTTAGAGACATACTCGACCAGTTATATGCCTCACATCTGCATTTTCTGAGACGCAGAGAGAAAGAAGGGAGGAAAAAAAAGGCCTACGGACCCAACAACTTCCTCACTTTACAGGGTGAGCTCAGAATTCAAATTTCCTTCCCTTGAGAGTCTGAGGGAAGGAAGCTGATGGCTGTGTCACACTTCTGAATTGGGTATACAACTCACAACCTAAGTTCTCAAGCGGAGCAAAACTAATTTTGTTTTGCAGCTGGATAAATAAAGGAAGAAAAAAGCTGGCATTACACATTTTTGAATTAGCACCAAGTCTCTCAAACTCCACCTCTCTCGGGAAATGTAGTTCCTTATGCAGTGGGAGGTGGTAATTTCACTCCCTCTCCAATCCCTCCTCACCACATGAAACCCTGTTTAGAGCTGCATTTATCTCTTCGCTTGTCAGCCTGATTTGCCTTCCCTATCATTGCTGGATCCTTAGCTGAATTCTTTATGTCAGTAGGATCAAAAGAGATAATGCAAGAGAACTCTAAAATTGATGGAAGGTGTGGATAGTAAGGATGGTTTCTGAGGGTTACTGGTCCAAGAGGGAAAATTCCTAGAAAAAGGAACCAAACCTTTTGGAATTTATTCTATAGTAAACAGCATAGTATAAACAGCACAGTATATAGTAAACAGAATAGTATTATACATTGGTGGTTCCTAAGTTAATTGTAATTGAAAAAGAAAAAATTTCCAGTCGGTTATAAAAATATACAAAAGAGGAAACAAAACTTCTGGCTTAAAATTCAAAGCAATATGTATCTTATTATACAAGGATGTGCGTGGAGTCGAACCACCCGGAGTCTTATAGTTATACACGAGGTGGGTTTCATGAGCTTTTGTCAATTAAGTTACATTTTTTCCAAAGGGCGGTTAGGAATAAAGTGATCAGTTTCCTCCTCTTTCTCTAGTACATACTCCATATCAATTTCATAAGCCTGGAAAAAGTACATTCATCAAAGACCAATAAAATTATTTTAGGTTAAAAATATTAGTAGAGGAGGAAAGAAGACGACTTAGTGGAGATTCCAAAGATGAAAATTATATGAAATTATTCCTGAGGTGTGTTTGTGACAGGTCCTTCAATGTGTTAAATAGTTGGTATGCCCCGGGCACATAACTGCAGTGACTCATGTCTTGTCATGTCCTCACTGGGAAAACAATGTGTTCTATGAAGATTACAGCTAGGGCTGAAAGATGTTGTCATGAGGTTTCCTCATAGTCTTGAGGCCCTAAGTACCTTGTTAAAGGCCCTTTCATGGGTTTTTCTCTGGATCTTGAATATGTTCTGACTATAAGACTTATTATTGGGGATGAAACTTCTTTGCCCAGAATAATAGCCTTGGTGAAGATATTTCTAAGCATCAATTCATTGGTTGTCTTTGGTGAATTTTAGGGCCTTGCAAGGTGGCGAGGTCACCAAACGCTGCCAAATTCAATAACCTGCATTTTATTTTCAAAGATACCTTTTCCCCTATCTGAGTCAATACCCTCAAAATACAATAATTATGGGGTCATTAACAAGAGCTCAAAAGCAAATTTGATTTCAGATACCTCTCAGTCGCTAAGGCTAAGACTGGGAATCCATCTTATTTGGTGGGAAAATGACCAAACAAGATAACAAAAAAGCACAATCCTTTGGGTTGACCAACATAACCACCATGGAGTTTGCAAAAACAGGACCATCTGTTGTGTGAGAACCATGGAGATTCTGTATTTATAGAATCCTGAGTGGGAAAACCAGACATATGAATAAACTTTTTTTTCCCTAGTTCACTAATCTGAAATCTACTTTTCTTCTAGTTTCTCTGCTGTCAACATGTACGGTGTTTAAACAAAACAAAACAAAACAAAGAGTCAATTTAAAAGCAGACAGGCTTGCTATGACTAATTTGAGAACTCCCAAAGTAGGCTCTTTTCCAAAAATACATTACGGTTGACAATATGTTAGCTCAGTCTTAAAGGGGTTATGATACAACTATGGACTGGAAGGCTGAAGCAGATTATTACCGCCGGTTGGAGCAGAGCAGGGTACTCCACAACCCTTAACTGCTCTTGGTATGGGGCTTTCAAATGAAACCTTTCTATATAAACAAATGTTTTGAATGTGTGTATCTTAAACAGCCTAACTGAATAATACATATTTTGTTCCTCGTGGTTTCTAAAATGGAAGTTGTTGCAAGGAAAAAAATTTATATCAGGGGCCAAGAGTGCAAGGGCGTTTCACATATTGCACGTTCCTTTAAAAACACATATTTCTTACATCCTTTGGTAAAATTATTTTTAAAAAGCTAACATCTTTTGGTAGCATTGCTTTTACAAAAATACCTCTGTTTATTATTTCTTGTATTATGGTGGAGGAGGTTGGAAATCAAAGGAAGTGATGATTCTCTTCCAAAAGCCTGCAAAGGGATGATAGTATCACATTTTACTCAGTGAATTAAATTAATTTTACCTTGAATTCAATTGTGGGTGTGCAGAGAGGAATGACATCACCACTTACTGGGTGTCTACTATATGCCAGGTAATACACTTAAGCACATTATAGCCTTTATCTTATTTAATCTTCTCAGCAACGCTCCTCATTATCATCTTCATTTTAGGAAGGACTGAGGTTCAGAGAGGTTAAGCAACTCACTGCAGGCCACACAGCTAGTAAATGACCAGGAACAACAGGTAACTCAGACACTGGCTTGTTTTTGGTTTCCTGTTAAATAGTATAAGCAATCTATTTCTTGGAGGTTTTGTTCAGCAGTCCATCTTATTAATGACTCTGCATGCCTTTTGCTGCTAAATTATTCAAGGAGTCTCTGGTACCAAGTGTGACCTGGTTCCTTTAAGAATTACATTGAATGAGAACCAATGGGCTAGCAACTCTGACCGGTTACTTATGCGCCTTAACTCCTTTCATTCAACAACTCTAAGAGATTGGGTTCTCGCCGTTTATAGATGATAAACTGTTCGGGGGAGGTTAAGAAAGTTGCTAAGATCGCCGAGTTAGTGAGGGCTAGAGCCCCGACTGGGTTCCAGGTCTGACTCCAACGCCAGAACGAGCTTCCTCCACGACACCAGTGTTTCCATTTGGCTAGAGAGCCACAGGGCTGATTTAATATTTATCAAGTGTTTGTAGTGTCCTGGGATCTGGCACTTGGATGAGAAAGCTGGGGCGGCCCCAACTTCTCCGTCCACGCCGCCGGGGAGAAGGCTGCACGTGTGGCACAGAAGACAGAAAGCCCTCACGCTTCAGCTTAGCAGCAAGAGACCTGGTCGCTTGGGAGGCCCGAGGGCGCGTGCCACTTCTCCCCTGCGACTGGGAGACACCGAGGGTCCCAGGCCACCCGAGGTCCCGACTTTCGTGGCAGCACTGGTGCTGCGGGTTCGGGTCGCGCGCCTCACAAACAGGTAACCGGTTTGTAGTCGGGCGGAGAGTGGCGAGCGCAGGGCTCCAGGGGGCGCCCTCCCAGCAGCGACACCCGTCACCTTTACCCCCCGAACCCAGGCTTGGGGGTAGCGGCGGCTCTCAGCACCCTTCGGGCGGGCAGCTCCGCCCTTCCCGCCCCGGGAAGTGACGCGCAGCGACTACGGCATCCGGGCGGGGCCTCGAGGCAGCTGGGGGGTTCGGGAGGGGCGGCGGCCGCAGGGCGATTGGCGGGCCGGCCGCGGCCAGGAACGCCGGAGCGCGCGCTCGCGGGTAGCGGCCCGACGACCGCGTGCGGGGGCGGGAGGGCGCCAGGAGCCGCGGCGGGGGCGGTGTTGGTGTCGGCGGGAGATGCGGGTGGCTGCGGGCACCCGGTGGGCTGGGCTCGGCCGCCGCCTCCTTCTCCGGCTCCGCCGCGGGGGTCGTCGTGGCTGCCGCGCCGTCCCCGAGGTCCCGGCGTGAGGAGGCGGCGGGTGGAGAGCAGCGTCCAGTTCGAGGCGGAGACCCAGAGGGAGCCCCGCGCGAGACCTCGGTGAGCGGCGCGCCCCTTCGGGGTCTCCTGGCCGCCGCCCCCTCAAGAGGGGAGCGGGGTCTGGGGGCTCGCGGCCCACCAGGAAGCGGCCGTGCGGCGGGGGGCTGCGAGCGCGCTCCCCTGGGACCCGCCCCCGCCGCTGCCCCGCCGGGTCCCGCCCTGTCCCGCGGCCCCAGCCCCGCGGCCCCAGCCCCGCGCGGGCAGGTGGACCCGGGATCGTCCGCCCCCATCCCTCCCGCTTCGCGCTTCGGGACTCTCGGGCGAAAGGTGGCGGGTTTTTGTGTGTGGTTTTTTTTTTTTTTTTTGCTGGGAGTGGGGGTGGGGGCGAAGAGGGGAGCAATTCTGACTAGTGACAGGAAGTTGGAAAATGAAAGTACGATAATTCAGTGCTTACCAAGGCCCGTGAGGCTGCGGCGTCCCCCCCCTCGCCCCGAACTTTGATCTCCTCTGCCGCACACGGTTACCAGTGTTTCTTCCTCTCCCCAAGCTTGCTGTTCATCCGGTGTCAAGTTTCTTTTTTTTTTTTCTACTTCTCGCCAACAAACCTCCTCCCCCTTGACTTTCCGCTTCACGTGCAGCTGCAGCAAGGCCGGTAGCTTCTTCATTCCTGGGAAAACCAATTGGAATCATTTTGGGGGTAGGGGGTGGAATATTAACTGGACTTGGTAGGAAGTGAGGGGTATTGTTGATGGAAGTAGTCAAAAGATAAACGCACAGTTGGCGATTTCCCAGGCCATTGGCTGTTTGAAGTTGAAGGCATTTAAATCAAGACTGAGTTTTATTCATCAGAGCTGTTCACCCATCTCTTAGGTGGTGGGTCAGATCTTCCCGCCCGCCCCGCGGTCTCCCACCCACCAGCCCACTTGATGCTTCAATCTTTAGGACTATCAGTGGTGTTTCCATTAAAACTTGCTATGATCAATTCTGTCCCCCCAGGAACTCTCTGATTTTATTTAAACGTTAAAACTGCATAAGTGGAATCCATTACATTCTTAGAGAAATAGTGTCTTCAAGTTTTATTGTAACATAGCAGTACACTTTAAATATTCACTTAGTATAGGCTACTGTACAGTTAGACACCAGACACCTAGTTACGTTTTGACAAAGACAATGATTTTAATTCATTGATGCATTTCATAATTTGGTTTTGTTTTATTTAAGTAGCATACTGAATTTGGAGGCATTTATTTTTTTGGGTCTTAGCTACTGTTTCTGAAAAATAGTTGGGCCATGGGTCACCACAGCAACTGGACTATGTGTATTATAAACATATTTAGGGTGGAAAAGTTTTCATTTAATAGAGACTTCCTTTCCCTAACAAGTTATTTCAACCTGCTCCTTCTTTTCATTTTTCACAGGGATGCGTTTTCTATCTTGAAAAGTGTTAAGATAGAATCACTTGTGTTTTCAACATTTTAGCCCTCAAAAACCAGATTCCTTCATTTGGATCAGGTATTTCCCTCCCTCATTATACTTCTACTTAAAAAAACCTCTTAAAACTAATTGTAGGTAACTGGAGATTTTCGTGAGAAGGAAAATAAAGGACTTTTTTTGACTGGTAGCAAGAATAAAAGTACATTTTTTGACTCTTCATTTCACCTTTGTAATTTTTGTTAACTTCTGGAATAGTTTTCCTTTAGTCCTCTTATGGCTGAGGAAATCATTGAATTTCATATTAATATCACACTTGTAGGAGCTAAAATGAAGAGGTTCAGCTTAACTGCATACCCAGAAGTCCAACTTTTCAAAAAATAACCTGATATCAACATTGAGTGAATAAAACACTCTGTTAAAGTATCCTCTGAAGATGGCCATTTTATGTCTTTGTTAGTTTTTTGCAAAAGAAAATTCTTTTCCAGTACTTAAGTCCAAAAGCCCTTCTTTGCCTCTCAACAACCTTCTCTCCTAGATGCACTGTAAAATATTAAAGAAGCATCAGTGTTTTCCACAACAGTTTGGTTCTGCCTTAAAATATCAAACAACTCACCAGCATTTGATTTAATACATGTGCTCCCCTAAGAACCAGAGGGGAAGGTGAAGTTAAACCCGCAGCACCTTGAGAACACCCAGACTTTTGGGAACCTCCCCTTTGCTCAGGATGGCACTTGTGTGCTCACTATAGAGATGATGTTATATCTGTCTTTTTACATGTAAAGTTTAGTCATTATAAACCTGTCTGTAGGGCTCAAGCATTATCTACATGGTAGGTATTAACACATTGAGGATGGGGCATTTAAATGTATAGATGCAAATCAGTGTCACCAGTCCACAGTGTGTTAAGACTAGGATTTGGTTTTGGGAATTTTTCCAAAAACAAATTGAATTATAGGCACCAAATTTGTAGTAGTAGTTTTTTTTGTTGGTTTTTAAAAGATTTTATTGGGAAATTGGGGGAGGGGAACAGCACTGGGGAATTGGGGGGAGGGGAACAGACAAGTTGCTGTCCTTTAGTTCTTCAGTCTAGTTGTTGAGGACGTCGCTTCACTGGCTCATGTTGGTATTATCATTGCGCTCTTCCCGGGGGAGGCAGATTGGTTGCCGGTCACTGGACAGCCACTCACGGTGGCTCTTGGCAGCTCATACCAGCTGCCAGCCGCTCATGGTAGCTTATGGGAGCCCACTGCAGCCTACGCCATCGCCGGCGACTTATGGCAACCCAACTCCAGGTCGAGCTGTTGTTCACCATCTTAGCTGTAGAGGGCACAGCATCACTGGCCCTCATGTGGGATCCGAACCGGGTCCCTGCTGCTGAGAGCTGGTGTCCCAAGCCAACTCTTTTTTTTTTTAAAGATTTTTATTGGGGAATTGGGGGGATGGGAACAGTGCTGGGGAATTGGGGGAAGGGGAACAGACAAGTTGCTGTCGTTTTCTTCTTCAGTCTAGTTGTGGAGTACGTTGCTTCACTGGCCCAAGTTGGCACCATCATTGTGCTCTTCCTGGGCGAGGCAGATCAGTCGCCGGCTTCTGGACGGCCGCTCACTGCGGCTGCTGGCCGCTCACGCTGGCTGCTGGCTACACACAGTAGCCCATGGCAACCCACTGCCACAGGGGCTGCAGCCCACGCCATCGCCGGCAACTCACAGCAGCCCAGCTCCAGGTTGAGCTGTTGTTCAGCATCTTAGCTGTAGAGGGCAGTGTCACTGGCCCTCATATGTGGGATCCGAACCGGGGCCCTCAGGCGTCCCAAGCCAGTTCTTAACCATCGCGCCACTCGGCCGGCCCCCAAGCCAACTCTTAACCAATGTGCCACTCAGCCGGCCCTGTAGTAGTCTTAAGATTCCAGTTTTCTGCCTTCTTTCCCTCTTTCCTCTCCTCCTTCCATCATCATTACCTCTCTCTCACACATTCACACCCCTGCCCATATAAGCATTCTTGATATAAAGATGATGTCTAGAAATATGGAGTCATAGTTTTGATTAAGCTAAAATTTACTAGGGAGTAGTTTTAACAGATTTAGACTAAAGTAGTTTAGATGGGAAACACGTGTAGTTAGAAAGTAACTTAACATGAACCGGCATCATCAGAAGAAAGGCCTCTTTGGTAAACTCAGAAATGACAGGGACCCCCCCCCCAACTTGATGGATGTAATATAAACCACTATTTTAACCCAGCTTAAGCAAGGCTATGGGAAACTATAATTTCTAGTAGGCTTAGTTATTTAGCATTAAAGTAGCACTTCATATTTGTAGATTATTATCACTTCGTATCTAATACGTAATACTTCTTTACAACCAGCTGGGGATGTGAATGCTTCTGCCCATCAAGGGACGTGGTTTCCCTAATGAACAGAGTAGGTGACTGACGAAAGAGTTGGATTCGTGGCCTCAGGTTCTCCATTAACTGTTAACCGTGGGAAGCATCTCCCCTGCTTTCTATTCTTTATTATTTTCCCATCTCTACTTTTGGATGACTACTTCTGAACAACCACCTTCAAGAAGTGATAACTGGGAGGATTGTTGGAGGACATTTTGAGTGTCTCAGAAAAGCTACAGAAACCCAAATATTTTCCACTTCAGTTCCTCATATCTGCCCTTTTTGGAAGCAGACATAGGTGACCCTTAAGGATCTCATCCTCTGTGAGTTACACCTTGTTAGAATTAAGCTTTCGAGGCCTAACTTTTGTAATGTCTGTTAGTTTGTTTTTAACATCTTTGTTGAGAGATAATTCACATACCATAACATTCACCTACTTAAAGTGTACAATTAAATGGCTTTAGTTTATCCAAAGAGGAGTGTAACTACCACATCTACATTTAGAGTATTTTCATCATGCCATTGTCAGTCACTCTATTCTCTTTCCCCACCATCCCTAAGCAACCACTGATCTTTCTACGTCTAATAGATTTGGCTATTCTGGACATTTCCCATAAATGGAATCATATTGGGTTGTCAGAAAAATCATGCCAGTTTTTTGTTGTTGTTGTTGCAAAAATGCGTCATGACTTTTCCGACAACCCAATATACTCTGTGTGGCATTTGTAGTTGGCTTCTTTCACTTAGCATAATGGTTTCAAGGTTCATCTATGTTTCAAGGTTCAAACATGTAGCATGTTTCAGGACTTCATTCCTTTTTCTGGCTGACTAATATGGCACTGTATGGTTGTACCACGTTTTGCTTATCTGTTCATCAGTTGATGGACATTTGGATTGCTTCCACTTTTTGGATATTATTAATTATGCTGCTGTGAACATTCCTGTATGAGTGTCTGTGTAGACATAAATTTTCCATATTTTCGTTTCTCTTGGGTGTGTACTTAGGAGTGGAATTGCTGGGTCTTATGATATATTTAGCATTTTGAGGAACTGTCAAACTCTTTTCCAAAGTGGCTATACCATTTTACATTCCCACTAGCAATACGTGAGGGTTTCACTTTCTCCACATCCTCATCAACACTTGTTATTGTCTGTGTTTTTTATTATAACCACACTCATAGGTGTGAAGTGGTATCTGAGGTGGCTGTCATTTTATTCCTAATAAATAATGATGTTGAACATCTTTTCATATGCTTATTGGCCATTTGTATATCTTCTTTGGAGATGTATCTTTTCAAATCCTTTGATACATACATACATATATATGTGTATATATATATATGTGTGTGTATATATATATATATATATATATATATATATATTTAAGATTTTATTGGGGAATTGTGTGGGAGGGGAACAGTGTTGGGGAATTGGGGAAGGGGACCAGCCAAGTTGTTGTTCTTCAATCTTCGTTGTGGAGGGCACCAGTCGCCATCTGGCTTCCTGTCAGCAGCTCGTAGCCTCTAAGCTCAAGGTGCTGTGTTCAATCTTAGTTACGGGTGGGCATAGCCACCATCCCATGCGGGAGTCAAACCGGCAGCCTTGTTAAGAGTGCGCGCTCTATCCACTGAGTCATCTGGGTGGCAGCTCAGCTTAAGGTGCTGAGTTCAGTCTTAGTTGCAGGTGGGCATAGCCACCATCCCATGCGGGAGTCAAACCAGCAGCCTTGTTGTTAAGAGTGCACGCTCTATCCACTGAGCCATCCGGGCAGCAGCTCAGCTCAAGGTGCCGAATTCAGTCTTAGTTGCAGGTGGGCATAGCCCACCATCAACAGGCAATCTTGTTGTTACACCAGCTGAGCTATCCTGCTACCTGTTGGTAGCTCAGCGACAGCTCAGCATGGGCACAGCATCACTGGCCCATGTGGGAATCGAACCAGCGGCCCTGTTGCTCAGAACTGGCGTTCTTAAGCCAACTGTTAACCAACTGAGCTACTCGGCTGGCCCTTGCCTATTTATTTATTTTTTTTTAATTGTAAGAGTTCTTTAAATTTTTTGATACAGGTCTCTTATGATTTGGAAATATTTTTTTTCCCATTCTAAGGATTGTCTTCTCACTTGATGGTATTGTTTGCAGCACAGAAGTTTTAAATTTTGATGTAGCCCCATTTACCTGTTTTTGTAGTGTTTTAATGGCATTGACTTTTTGTTTTCAAGTCCTATTCTGATTCATTGAGATCTCATTACTAGATTTTAGAAAAAGGAAGTGTTTTGTTTGTTTTTGTGAGGGTATATAGTTCAGTTATACTTAGGATGTGCTGATACGTATTTGGCCATAGTTTCTGCCCTAAGGAATTCTTCCTATTAAACAAGTTGTTTTGTAGTTTTATGGGGAAAATAACTTTATGAGAGCATTTCCTTGCTGCTTCATTGCCTAAACCAGTGGTTATCAACTGGGATGATTTTGTCCCTTGGGAGAACATTTGGCAATGTCTGTAGACATTTTTGATTGTCACACTTGGGCAGGGCTACTGGCACCTAGTGGGTACAGGCCAGGATGCTGTTAAACTGTTGGGTTGTCAGAAAAGTCATGACGTATTTTTCTGTTTTTCTTTGCAAAAATACGTCATAACTTTCCCGACAACCCAATACAATGCACAGGACGGCCTCCAGAAACAAAGAATTATCTGGCCCCAAATATCAGTAGTTGAGAAACTTTGGTCTCAACAGGGAGATCCTAAAACTTGGGATATTGAAGGATTTCTCAGTTCATATCTTGATAATCAAATAAAGGTTTCTAATCAAATGAAAAGAGGATCTATGCGGATGGGATCCCTGTGGACAGAATGGTGACAGAACTTGTAAATTAAGGAACATTTTTGCCAAATTTTTAGTGCTGCCAATTTATATGTAAATTATATTTATGATAAAAGAAATTATTTGAAGGAGAAATACCAGTGGAGCAAAAGTAGATTGTTCTCTGCACCCCTGGGACACACATACATATCCTGGCAAATAAACCAACTGGGTTGATTAAGATAGATACTGAAATGGTGGTCTCCTCAGAGAATACGACAATGAGTTTGTAAGATAAATTTAATAACAGTGGGACTCTAGTGACTGGCGATCATCAGGCTGCTCATATAATTTATGGAATTAGCTTTATCTCCCAGCAAGACGTTTCTTAAGTAGTGTGGCGTGATTGAGAGTTTGGACTCTGAATCTGATTGCCTGGGTTTAAATCTTAGCTCCACCATGTACTTGTGTGACTTAGACAAATTACTTAACTCTTAAGAAATCGTTTTTTCATATATAAAATGAGGCTGCAGTAGTATCTGTCTTACAGGATTGGTGTTGGGATGAAATGAAGTAATATATTTAGAGCACTTAAAACAGCGCCTGACAGAGTGTTCTACAAGTGTTGGCTGTTAATATTATTGTATCTCGTATCTCTGTGCCTCTTTCAGCTCATTGCTATGGACAGTGCTATCACCCTGTGGCAGTTCCTCCTTCAGCTCCTACAGGAGCCTCAGAACAAACACATGATCTGCTGGACCTCTAACAACGGGGAGTTCAAGCTTCTGCAGGCGGAAGAGGTGGCTCGTCTCTGGGGAATTCGAAAGAACAAGCCTAATATGAACTATGACAAACTCAGCCGAGCCCTCAGATACTATTATGTAAAGGTAACACACATGCACCTCAGAGCAAGAAGCGTTCCTTCTGTTCAGGTTATAGGTGCTAATGTCCTGGTTTAGTTATTTAACTTTCTAATTGAGGTAAAATTAAAATACAACATTATATTAGTTTCAGGTATACATAATGATTCAGTATTTGCTTACATTGTGAAATTATCACTGTCCTGGTTTATTTTAATCCAGTTTTTTTTATAGCTTCAGCAATTTGGGATTAGGATAAAAGATGGAAATGTTCCAGCTGTATTTCTGCAAATTCCTATTGAGTACCCCACTCCCATTACACATATTTTATTCCAAATTACAATTGGCTTTAAAGAAAAAGTGAGTAAAGGGTTGGAATAAGAAAAGGAAATATGAGATTCTTGAGGATAAATATGTATATTATAATTTACTTTAGAAATTGTTATCTGTACATTTTCTTTTAAAAGATTTTATTGGGGAATTGGGGGAGGGGAACAGACAAGTTGCTGTCCTTTAGTTCTTCAGTTTAGTTGTGGAGGACGTCGCTTCACTGACCCATGTTGGTATTGTGATCATTGCGGTCTTCCATGGTGAGGCAGATCAGTCACCGGCCACTGGACGGCCGCTCACGGCAGCTCTTGGCAGCTCATGCTGGCTGCCAGCTGCTCACAGTAGCTTACAGCAGCCCACGGCAGCCCCACTGCAGCCTACGCTATCGCCGGCGACTCATGGCAGCCCAGCTCCAGGTCGAGCTGTTGTTCACCATCTTAGCTGTGGAGGGCAGTGTCACTGGCCCTCATGTGGGATCCGAACCGGGGCCCTGCTGCTCAGAGCTGGCGTCCCAAGCCAACTCTTAACCAACGCGCCACTTGGCCGGCCCTGTACTTGTTTTTTAGCTTTACTTATTTTTTTTTTTTTTACTTTAACCCAGACAACACAATCAATACCTTAAAGTGTACCTTTTAATATATAGAGTTGATTTCTTAATTTAAATTTTTAAATTTCTTATTATTTTGAATACACTATGGGCACTGAGGTAAAATAAATGGCTCAAATGGATAAATTGGAATAGAGAAGTGGATCTTAATTTCCTTCACGTTTTAGTATTTGATCTTAGCAGATTTCCTGTGTGGAGACATGAGGTAAGCCACAACTGGAATTTCTGAAGGAAGTAGGAACCTTAGTAGAAGTAATGTTCTAAATTCTTTTTTGCTTACTCAGGATATGTATGACTTGTACCTTTGGAATTATTTGAGATTGCAGATCAGCGATGTTTAACTTAATACAGATATTTGGTTGAGAGTGTTAAGCACTTAAAATCTTTTAGCTTTTATATAACTTATTTAGTTGCTAATAAGACATTTAAATGTTCTTAACGCATGCTCCACAGTAGTAGGAACTGTGTTAGTATGGCTAGATATTTAGAGGATTTTGAAGCTTTTAAGTAAATTGCTTGTCAAATAGAGAACTTCGTTAGGTCAGCTTTTTCATGAGTTATGGGAGGTGAGATTATAAAAAGTATAAGAATGCTTATTTTATTTATCTACAGAATATCATTAAAAAAGTGAATGGTCAGAAGTTTGTGTACAAGTTTGTCTCTTACCCAAAGATTTTGAACATGGATCCGATGACGGTGGGGAGGATTGAGGGAGACTGTGAGGCTTTAAGCTTCGGTAAAGTCAGCAATAGCTCCAAAGATGTGGAGAATGGAGGGAAAGAGAAACCACCTCAGCCTGGTGCCAAGACCTCTAGCCGCAATGACTACATACACTCCGGCTTATATTCTTCATTTACTCTCAACTCTTTGAACTCCTCCAATAGGAAGCATTTTAAATCTATAAAGATTGAGAACCCCGCTGAGAAATTGGCAGAGAAAAAATCTCCTAAGGAGCTAACACCTTCTGTCATTAAATTTGTAACAACACCTTGTAAAAAGCCACCAGCTGAACCTGTTGTTGCCACCATTTCAACTGGCCCAAGTATTTCAGCACCTTCGGAAGAAACTATTCAAGCATTGGAGACTTTGACTTCCCCCAAACTGCCTCCACTGGAAGCCCCAACCTCTGCCTCCAGTGTAACTCCCACTTTTACCGCCATACCTAGTTCGTCCATGTCCCCTTCTTTGAAGGAGGAGCCTCCTCTAACACCTTCACCACCGCTGAGTTCCAACCCAGACATTGACACAGACATCGATTCTGTGGCTTCTCAGCCAATGGAACTGCCAGAGAACTTGACACTGGAACCTAAAGGCCAGGACTCAGCTTTGCCAGAAAAGGACAAAACAAATAATTCATCAAGATCCAAGAAACCCAAAGGGCTAGAGCTGGCACCTACCCTCGTGATCACAGGCAGTGACCCAAGCCCACTGGGAATATTGAGCCCGTCTCTCCCTACAGCTTCTCTTACGCCAGCACTTTTTTCACAGGTAACTCTTTCTATTGTTTGCATTTACTCGCCTTTTAGTCAAATTCAGGATTTATAACCTGAAGTTCTCATTCTGCTGCTTAGGTTTGTCTTAGAAAGGTTATATATGACCCCGTGAAAATAATTCAGTTCCTCACCTCAATTAGGATCACCAAAATAAAAGGTTTGGAGTTGCGTTAAAAAATTAATTGTTGGGCCGGCCAAGTGGCTCAGCTGGTTAAGAGCGCATTCTCTGAGCAACAGGGTCGTGGGTTTGGTTCCCACATGGGCCAGTGAGCTGCACCCGAGCTGAGCTGCCAACAGGTGGCAGGATGGTTCAGCTGGTGAGAGAACATGCTCCTAACAACAAGGTTGCCAGTTTGACTCCCGCGTGGGATGGTGGGCTATGCCCATCCGCAACTAACATTGAACACAGCACCTTGAGCTGAGCTGCCGATGGGCGGCCAAATGGCTCAGTGGTTAGAGCATGTGCTCTTAGCAACAAGGTTTCCCGTGCGACTCGCGCATGGGATGGAGGGCTATGCCCACCCATAACTAAGATTGAACACGGCACCTTGAGCTTAGCGTCCACGAGCTGCTGCTGGGCAGCCAGATGGCGACTGGACTTGGAGCTGAGCTAGCCGCACCCGCCATCACTAAGATTGAAGGACAACAACTTGGCTGTTCCCCTCCCCCAATTCCCCAATAAAATCTTAAAAATTAAAAAAAATTACTTGTTCTGCAAGTCAATAAATATTTTGGTTTTTCTACTTCCTCCAAAAGAAAATAAGTATTCTCTCTCTCTCTTTTTTTGGTCTTATAAAACTGGTTGATATCTTATTTAAAAAAACAATGATAATCTCACGTTAGAAAACAATCAATCCCGAGAACCTTAAGAAGAAGGAATGTTTGATGTTGAGTAACAAGTTTCTACTGTTACCTTATGTTTCTTAACTTGCTTAAATATAACATTTAAATACATAGATTACTCACAACCTTCTCATTATTGAGGCAAAGATATGTTTGTGACCCAGTTATCTATTATTTTTCTGTACCTGAATTCAGATTGGTTTTCTATTTGGGAAAGACCCTGCAAGAGAGAGGTTGGAAAATATTTTGACCTTTTTCTTCCTCCTTTTGTTTTAATAAAGCATTTATTATAATAGTTGAGCAAACTCTATCTTAAGTTGTTAAAATAACTTCTGAGTTTTTCCGCATAAAATTTCAGACTTGGAGAGATGTGGAGTAGAGAATAGGACAATATTTGGGTTCAGGGCTATTTGTGTATTATTACAAGGGTAAAACATAATTCTGATGTGTCATTTAATGAATGTTACTGCTTTGTGTATTGCAGACGCCCATCTTACTGACCCCGAGCCCTTTGCTCTCCAGTATCCACTTCTGGAGCACTCTGAGCCCTGTTGCTCCCCTCAGTCCTGCCAGATTGCAAGGTGCTAACACACTTTTCCAGGTAAATGACATAAAAGCTTGTCTCTTATAAGAGGGACATGGTAAATGAAGAAAGAAGCAAAAAGGCAATGTCCTGTTCCTAGTTGAATCATTATAAAACTTCTGTTCAATAAATACTCTTGCATTTTGATTTTGAATTTCTAAGTATTAATTTCCTAGCCAGCAGACAACTAAGATAAATATTCATAGCAGAGTTTCCTTTTCATTGTTGACTATTACGTGCATTGGAGTTAGACCAAGAATTGTTCAATACCATAGATTTTGTCGTTTTAGAACTCTAGAAATCCTCTCCTTTTTTTTTAGGAAAAAAATGTACACATATATATTTATACAAACACAAGTATGTGTGTGTGTGTGTGTGTGTGTGTGTGTGTGTGTGTATTTCTGCACATAGTTTTCCTCTTTTTACTGGAGATTAAAAAAATAGAGAAAGCTCTTGAGATTAGTGTATTATATACTCCCATTTCCCCCTCATTCAGAATTGATATTAACATTTTAAATACATATTTTTAAAAATGAATATTGTATCACCTCTTAACCACGATCTTAGGAAAATTCTTACAGCTTTTAACTATTATTTTGCCCCAAACATCTAGACTTTATAACTTGTAGGCTTGCTTATGGTTGATTTATTCAATTATTTTGGGGTAACTCCCTGGAAGATTTTCTTACATTTTTGTAACTTAATTTTTCATTTGTTCTTTTGGAAATGAAATGGTAAGGAAAAGAAAATTAATAACCTTTCTACTTCTGCATTTTTATTTTATTTATTTTGCAAAATTTTCCATATTTCATTTTTACATTTTCTTGGCCTCTCGCAACCGATAATTAAGTTACAGAATGATCTGTGACTGTAAGCAAAGTCTTAGTGTTCAGGTAGCTTCACCCTGGACTCTCCCTATGGAATTGGTCTCAGAATACATGATGGGGAACCCTTTTCTGGGATGCACACCCTGGAACTATTTGCACCAGTTATAAATAGAGTTAATAGATGGGTATCTCTCTGGACCTTTCTGGACCTCTTTGACAGTCTGTGATTTGCTTTATAATTGAATATACTCTGTAGTGCATGTTGTCATTTACTGAATTTTCTAAAACCTTAATTTGAAGTTAAATGTGATCTGTGTACCTTAGGATATAAGGGAAGATATAGACTTCTTCACATTCCATCAAGATAGTCTGGAGAATGTTAATATTTAACATTCTTTAAAGTTCTTGTTATGACATCATACTCTTTCATGATAAGCAGTTACCGTCTTTGTCTTGTGTGCCGCTGCACGTAGCTGTCATGTTCTGCATCAGGGAATGTAGTAGGGACAGAAAGTGAACATTGGGTTTGAGTAAAAGGATGATAATGTGTCTTATTTTCTTTCTCAGTTTCCTTCTGTTCTGAACAGTCATGGGCCATTCACTTTGTCTGGCCTGGATGGACCTTCCACCCCTGGCCCATTTTCCCCAGATCTACAGAAAACATAACCTATGCACTTGTGGAATGAGAGAACCAAGGAATAAAGAAACAGCGAGACTCTCAACATGATCACATTTGAAGTGAGCAATTGATAGTTCTACAATGCTGATAATAGACTTTTGTGATTTTTGCTATTCCCCATTGAATGCCTTTTTAGGATTCTCTTTGACTAAGACTCAAGTTGGATTGTGTATAAAAATGCCTTAATTGGAGTCCAAACTCCACCTCCCTCTTTTTCTTTCTTTTTAAAAAAATAATTTGAGCTTTGTGTGAAAGTAATTTTTGGTGGGGTTTAGCAGCTAGCTGTGCTTCGCAAGAGCAATTAAGAACAAAGTTATTCCTTCTGCCTTATTGGGACCCTTTGGCCAGAAAATAAGTATATGCTTTGAGTATATTATTTAAAGAAATATTAGTTAAATGAAATTGGCCATATCTTTGGGACTAAGTGTACTCTTTTGAATAACTAAAAGTGAGCTGTGCATAAGCAGTGGAGAAAAAAAGAATCATTTCTATTCACATAAAGGAAGATTGAGCAGTACTATTGGGAAGATTCTATTTTGCTGTGAATTCTAACATGTAAGCAACTGTGCAAAAAGTCATCTTATTTACATTTATTCAGGGTTGGTCTCTCAGCCCTATGTATGATCTTATCTGAACCTGTCAACAGGGCGTGGAGCTGGTCTATTTTAACATAGGAAGATTTTTAAACCTGAGGTTTAAGACAGTGTTTGGACCAGCCAGAGAGAATATGGGACCCCATATCTAGCACAAAAATGTTGGCTGCTCTCTGTGTGGTACGATTATACACCCATGGAATTCAGCATGGTAAATGATGGCGTTTAGGAGGATGAACCTGGGTATTGACATTTGTAGGCATCTCTGAATGAAAGATGTGATTGAATAACTTGAATCAACATGTGGGGCTTTTCCCAGTTAGAAGATACCATCAAGAAGGACTCTCTCTCTCTCCTGTTCATTTGAACCCCTTTTCTACTGTATGTTTATCTTCCTTTAAATTTAAGGTCATGAGAGATCACAATAGTTTTCAAGATATAATTAGGAAGGTGAAAAATGAAGTGAAGCCTCCAAATCTGTAGCAAGGTAAAGATGTGCTTATTTCTTTGAATTTTTGTTTTTAAATTAGGGAGGAGCAGAGTTCATTTGGAAATGGTCACGCTTAGGGAGTAGATTGTTGATAGTAGTAGTGAAAAATTTAGGCCTTTTCCTCAACGTTACCAAATTTATAAAATATTACCGTATGGTCATCAATGCCAGGTGCAGACAGCTTTGTTGATCCCCCAAACTGAATTGATACCAACATTACAGTGGAATCTTTTGAAAAACTTGGCTTTAAAGTCCAGGATTAGATTATATGTGATCACTACCCCCACCACTACCCAGTTCATTAAACTAGTGTTTTTATCCCTAGAAATAGTTCCTCTAATTGAATCACATGAACTAAATGGAATGAGGGAGTAAAGACTTGAGGGCTCACAATGACACTGACACAAACCAACATCTCCCAGATGTATCATACTCACTTTGAATGTTTACATGCAGGTGGAGAGGCTCTAGTAGAAGACATCTGTGCTAAGTCAGTAGTAGCGGAGGGATGGTATTGAGGGAGCTGCCTTTGAATTTGTAAATGTTGGAGACCTGTTACTGCTTCATCTGTGGTTCTCAGCTGAAAGGTCTGTTCCTGAGATGTGCAATAGTGTTGAAAGGTAGTGTGTAGTGTTCAGTAGTGATGCGGAACAGACTCACTGGACTTTTCCATTTTGAACCGTTTAGTTTGCATGCTTGTTTGAAGTTAGATGTCTCAGCAGCACTTTGAAATAGTTTTATTAGTAGGTTGATTAACATTTTGTACATTAAGTAAATATTGATGGCTTGATTTAATTAAATACTTAAAATTTTGAGTGCACAAAACTATTATTTTTTGGAATTACAGGAGACAAAGCCATTGGTTTGTTTTCCCAGGTGGTATCGTTGATAATTAATTGTCTCAGCACAGGGGTGCCTGGGAAGCAAGGACATCATTACAACGCAGTCAAAGCAACTTCATAGGAACGAGTTTTAGTAAATCTGTCTATAAACCGATCCTGGAAGCCTCTGAGAGGTGTGGGCCATAGGTGGGGTGATGATCTGCTTTCTCTTTGAGATCAATTAATCTGCGGGGGGGGGGGGGGGAGAGAGAGAGTGTGTGTGTGTGTGTGTGTGTGTTTGTATGTATGTGTGTGTCCTTTTTTAAATGAAAGTTTACAACCGTAGCTCAACTGTATGAGGCAGACCTTTTTTTTTGTAAACTACCTCCTTCCTGGAAAACTCTCAGTTTCATACTTGTTAAATATCCACAGAGTTCTTCTTAACATCCAAAGGTGACATACCACTTAAGATCAGTGTTCACTGGAGAGACTTATATTTGATAGTGATAGCCGGTATCCATCACTAATCACTTTGCCATGATGAATGCTGGTGGGCAAAAGTAGCGTAAGATAGGGGAGCAGGTTGAATGAGTTTTTGAGACGTCTGCTGAAATTATTTTAGCTTTCCATCTATTCTGGTGTATATCTACTTAGTTGTATGCTGGAAAATGTTTAACTACCAGGCTCTCTGAAGGGAAAAAAAGCCCTTACATTGTAGCATTTGCTGGTTTCCATGATGTAATTTATTTCCCCATTGCTGAGTTTAAGCCACCACGTTGGAGTTGAGAAGGGATGCACACAGTTGGACCCTTAGTCAGTAGACCAATGCATTTATTCCACCCTACGGTGGATTGCCACATAATTTCTAAAATAATTTTTTTCTTGTTCATATGCTGATTTTTAAAAATACAAAATTAAAATCATACATCTAACTTCAGTAATCTTTTTTTTCCTGGTTTGTCACAGTGCTTTTGTGATGTTAACATTCCTCATGACATATTTTGTGTGTTTAAACAAAGGTGGAAACTTCCATTGATTTAAAAAATTTATACATAATAGAAGAATCCAGAAACCCTCAAACACTCAACCTTAAGCTTCTTAGAGTTAAAACGTAGACTTAATTTTTCCACATTTTGATGGTTAAAAAAATAGATGTAAATTTTCTTCAGATTTTTTTTTTTTTTTTTTTTTTTTTTTTAGCTGAGCCATCCTGCTACCTATTGGTAGCTTAGCGGCTGCTCAGCTCGGGCTGGCATCGAACCGCTGTTGCTCAGAGCTCAAACTCTTGAGCGAGCTCTTAACCAACTGAGCCACTCGGCCGGCCCCAGTTTTCTTCAGATTTTGATGGGGAAAGAAAGCCCATGAGATTTATAGTAAAAGGACACTGGATTTTTCTTTTTAAACTGGAAGAATTTCTTGAAGATTTCCATGTTATATTAGAGATCAAAAAAACAGGACTGACTGCTGAATCTATTTACCTGGCACAGTTTCTAGTTTTTTTCATGCTCTGTGTCACTTAGGCTGAGAGGGTAAAAGAAATCAGAAGCTTGGCATTCTGGAGCTGTAACTGCAAGCTATTGATAGTATCACTTCAGTCCCATTCACACCTGGCATTGCATGATGTCCAGTCTAATGACATTGTTTCATCCTGGTCTCAGAACCTGTGTTATGATTCTAAAGTTCTAAAAGGCAGTTCTGGATGTTTCTAGTGAATGTAAACACATCAGTGACACTCACTGGCATTTCAGAAAAGCAGTTTCCAGCCTTTTCAAGCACACACATTGATAAGTAAAAGTGGTTTTGTTTGGTTTTGTTTTGTTTTTAATTGGGGAACAGTGTGTTTTTCCAGGACCCATCAGCTCCAAGTCAAGTAGTTGTTTCAGTCTAGCTGTGGAGGGCGCATCTCTGTGGCCCATGTGGGAATCAAACCGGTGACCTAGGTGTTTATGAGCACTGCGCTCTAACCAACTTAGCCAACTGGCTGCCCCTCAGTAAAAGTTTTTGAACACAAAACCCCTATTCGCAAATTCATATGTATGTTTGTTAATATGTATTGGGTTTTCGGAAAAGTCATGACGTATTTTTTCTGTCTTTCATTGCAAAATGAGTCATGACTTCCGACAACCCAATACAATAATGAGACATACAGAAAAATAGAAATAGGATGGCATAAAAGGTAAATCTTGAGTAGAAGTTGTAATATTTTCTTTCTGCACCCAGTAGGTTGTTTTGTGCACCGTCTGGCAGCATGCACATTTCTCAACCTAATCTTGAAGAAAAAAAAAATGTGGATGCTTTTGTTGTGACATGGAGAAATCCTTTACATATTTGATCTGATTTTCATGTAAAATCTCTAGAAGAGATTTGGAATTTTTTGGCAGAGCTTGTCATTAACTTTCTGAAATTTCATATTCTTTTCATAAGTTGCCAAGTCACCTATTACCAGATGTTTTCCAGAGCTTCATGCATTTTATTTTTGACAGCCTGTTGGCTCTTTCCTCTTCATATTATAAGTATGACTTCATAATGTACTTTAGCCTGCTTACAAACTTCTTTTGGCCTTATTAATGTATGTTACCAACAAATTCAGAATTATTTCAGGTTGCTTTATGTTACAATACATAATAACCTCCATTTTCTTGCTGCATTAATAACCTCCATTTTCTTGCTGCATTAGTAAGTTTTTGATTTTTTTTATTTGTAACATTTCAGCCTCTGAAGAAATACTTTTCTTGATGGATCTGTTCTATTTGTCGCTTCATTTACTATATATATTTTATTTAGCCATGCCAGAAATCTAGAATTGTGCTGAGGTGTGTAAATAAGTGAGTATGGAGACAAGTACAGGTATCTCCGTGCAGAAACCTGGAGTTCTGAAGAATTACCAAACCAACAGGCAAGTTAAAAAGACTACTCATGATGGATATCCTCGTAGCCTGTTAACTGAGGGTATGACAGAATATATTATTGCTAAAAAGGAATTGAGAAGTTAATTGTTTAATCCATACTAGTGAAGTGGAGGTCAACTATAGTTGTATTTCTTTAGCAGGTACTCTGACCAGAGAATGGGTTCTATAGAAAGTATTTTGCTACTTACCTTCTTGGTTTTGGGTCAACAAGTAAATGTTTTGTTATTGTTTTTCATGCTGCTGGCATAGCTTGAAACAAGGTGCCCTGTTATTCCTCTTAGGTCATCAAAACTCTGCTTACTGAAGTTGATGTTTTAATCTTAGAATCTAGAATTCTTGTGGGTGGTAGTGGATTAAGCAAGAAAAGAAGGCGGTTTGATTTCATTTCTCGTATTTGGTGGAACCTGTTAGCATAAGAGTCATGTTTTGACCTGTAAACAGAGCAAATCTGAAAGGTGAGTTGTTGATGTAGTATAAATGTTCCATTTGAAGCTGCCAGTTTCTTCAAGCTATTTTTCTGGGGAAAAAAATTGTGATAGATTGACAGCCTGCAGAAAACAGCAATTTGTTAGGGTGCTGCCATTCACACTGAACCATTGTAAAAGACGGAAATCCAGAGTGGTTCGAGTCAGAGGGGAAATGTTGGCTTTAAGCTTTTTACAGGAACCAGGAAATTGAAGCTGTTGTTAACATCATTTAAAATGAAACCTTTAACAAGAAAATTCATGAGGGATACAGTCAAACATAGTAAATATCTTGAACTCCAATCTTTGGAGAATAATACACATCAGTAAGTTTTATAAGGTTTAAAATTTTTTTTTTTAATATTTTATTGGGAGACTAGAGCATTTCTTTCCAAGTCATTCTGATTTATTGGCTGAGTGTGTGTGTGTGTGTGTGTGTGTGTGTGTGTGTGTGTGTGTGTGTAATATATACTGATGTATTGATTGTGTGTGTGTGTGTAAATAAATTTGTTTTTCAGAGGGAACATATATTATTCATCCTCTAGGATGGCTCCTAGGCTATTTTATACTAAAACTTAAAAATTGGCTGCACTTTGCAATTGCCACTTTTTAAAAATTAATGCCTTGCACATTTCAGTTTTTTAAAATAGATAGAATGATAGGCCTTAAAGACTAATTAATTGCTTGCCAACATTTAGAGCTACGACGCTATATGTGACATATGCTAAACAAAGTCATCTTAAACTACTTTCTTAATTCATTTATTGAGCAAATAAGGATGTCTTCCTTAAAATTTCTACATTTGCTTTTGTATAAAACCCATACTATGTTGGGTTCTAAGTTTCTCAGAGAAGAGTTTAATACTAGAAGTAGTATTTCTGAAATACAGGTTTGACCATGGATCGATATAATAATGGAGGAATTCTGGCATTGTTGCCTAATTTATCCTTTTAAACTGTACATAATTAGCATTAGCAGAAACCTCAGAGTATCTTGGGCCAAATGTTCTTCTCAATTTAGCCTTGTTTCCCATCTCATAAGGGCCCATTCTGGTTCTTGTCCCTTCCAAGGATTATGAGCCACGCTAGGACAGGCCTGGGATCTTCTGGATGGGGTCGGGGAGGGTGCCCTGTGGCTGGGACAGAGTTCTAGCCAGTGGAATCATTCAAGTATGCCTAGAGTTCAGGGGTGGGAATGCCATATATTGGTATTAAATCACTTGGCACTTTTATGGGCACCGTTTTTGGCACTGTTTTGTTTTTAATAACTGGAAGCACTTAATGATTATTTTGTGTTTTTTTTTCAATTTCAACTTATAGATTTTGAGGGGCAGGGAAGTAAGGTTTATTTCTCATTTATGTTTTCTGGAACTTAAGACTGTTTGGAGAAGGGGTAAATGAGCCATTCTTCTAGGCTCTGTAAGGTATGCTCTTTTGGCTAAGATGTTTTAAAATAATTTACAAGCTTTTAGTATTCTGCTTTGTAGAAGTATGACTTTTTAATTATTTGTAATTGATGGATTACATTCAACTTTGTAAACTATCCAATTTTAACTTTCTTTTCTGTTTAATCATTGTCTCTTATTGTCTGTTATGTAGGGGACACAGGCCCTCTAAGACATTTCAGATTTTTTGTTTTTGAGGGCAATATTACCAATGGCCTTTAAATGTACATTACACTGATTGCTTATGATAAAGGAGCATCTTTGATGAACTTCCCTGCTCAGTATCAGTGAAAGATGCATATATGTAAAGATAGAAATCAATATGATGAATTTTTTATTACTTGAGGCCTATTTATTTGGTTTGGCCATGCAGTCTTCTTTAATCACAGTCATATCTATTTCTTCACTTTTGCCTTCTAGCAGTTTCATTTATCTTTGTGGGTAGGGAAGATTAAATATGAAACTCAGCCCAGTCATTTTGCTACTGGTTAGCTTTGGTTTGAGGCAAATAAAATTTTTGACAAAAATTCATTTTTTAGAATTATGCCCTCTATTCACCAAATAATCAAGTTGGCTAAAAATAAAAAGTGTATAACTTGCACTTTGAAGAACAAACCAGTAATTTTCTGAGCCTTACTTGATCTTCAGGTATGGCTATCACTTGGAAATCGAATGATGTTAAATAATAAACTTCTTATTTTCATCCACCCAAACTGGAATGTGGAAGAAAAGCCTATGTCTGCTGTGGCATTAACACAGGAGAGGTATTCTTTTACTTCAGTGTCTTAGTTTGGGATATGTGGTAATAAGAACTTGTCAGGTTGCTTCCCTTAAACCTAGATCAACTCAACTGAGAAGACAGTTACTTCATTTTTTTATTTCCTCCCTTGTTTATTTTATTGAAAGCTATCTCTCGTAATATCCGGATCCACCACTTGTGTATAAATAGAATACTTATATATAAAATGCAAGTGCATACCTACCCAAAAGAATGAATAACTGTTAAAGTGTTATTAATAACTTGTCTTAATTTCAGTGTAATTTATAGTAGGGAGACTTTCAAAGTATTAAAATCACTTTTTTTCTTTCTTTTCCTAAAAAAGCAATTAAAATGATGGTAAACATTTTATGATGCTAACAATTAAAATGATGCTAACATTTACTAAAATCACGTTAATTGTTGATGCACCTGAGAGAAACTGCCGTATCTTCTCGCTAAGCAGTCTGACTT